GGCACTGAAGGAAACACGAATAAACTTTTTAGGTATGGAGAAGAAGCAAGACAAGGCCTACATCTCTGCGGACACGTGGAAGCTAACGGAGGAGAAAAGAGTGGTGAATCGGAAGATGGACCAGTACAAAGACGGAAAGGTTAGTTGCTGATTTGAATCTACAATACACTGAACAAACGAATGAAGAAGCGTTTCAGAAAAGACAATACACAAATCTTCGACATACTGGCGACTGAGGCAGAGCAGTCTGCGTGTATGGAAGGCCTAGGAACACTCTATTAGATAACCAGATTGCTATCTATGAAGACGCCAAAACAGACAAAACTAATGAAAGATAGTGAAGGGAACCTAATTACCAAAGAGAATGGGCAAAGAAGACTTTGTGTTGACCAGTTCTGATGACCATGGAACAGACAAATAACTACAAATCTTCCGGAAATATCACTAAGAATCGCGCAGCTGTTGTCAAGGAACTTATCTTTAAGTTCCTATTGTTACGGAGACGCTCTGCGCCCATAAAAACTATGTACTTTCTTCGACTTTAACTCTAAAACACCAGCATTGCAACAAGGAAGTTATATTGTTTGGCAGTTAAAACGGAGAATAATACAAATCTACAAACATACGTTTTATACAAATTCATTGTGTAGTGTGTGTGGCTACCAGTTCCAAAAACAAACGTTCAATGTTCACGTCAGTTGGCAGCTGCAGTAAGCTTGAATCTTCTGAAATCTTGAGTGTCGCAGAGCAGGAAAAGCAACAAAATCAGATAGAATCTACTCCCTACCTGCAACGGGAAACACTGAAAATGGACTCAGAGATACAGATGAACACGCGGCCATTATTGCAGAATTAGTGGAGAAGAGAACGGCCACCTTTTCACAATGCTGAAGCTCGTGCAAAACTTTATGAAAAGAACTCAGAAGATCAGAAGTTCGCCGATTAATAAAGTGTGGTGATTGAAAATTTCTATCTCTGTATTGTTTAAATACTTACTGTTGACTGTTGATATGTTTCTTATATGAATTGCATAATAATAATTCCGCTAAATACAAATTCCTGAATTCTGCCCTCTCTGTGTTTTGGTTGGATTCTTGTAATTCGGTCATCTCGAAATACTAATATTACGACTACAATAAATTACTACAAATTGGCGTCGCGATGGAACTAAATAACCTGGGAAAACTTCCTATAAATGCTACTCCGTGAGAGATTGCTGATTATTTGGAATGCTTTGATGCGTGGTGCATTTCAAAGAATGTTCGGGATGACAAAATACCAGCACATTTCATCACTGCTATTGGGCTTGATGCATATAGCCTAGTGAAGAATCTGGCGTTTCCAGATAAACCCATTTCTCTGCCATATGCTAAGCTCCGTGAACTTCTTATAGATCACTTCCATATAACTACTTTTGAGACGCGAGAGAGGGCTCAGTTCAATAAACTGGTTCGTGCTCCCAACCAGAAGATTCGAAACTTTATTCTGCAACTCCAAAAACAAGCTTCAAAGTGTAATTTTGGAGATTAGCTGCATACTCAACTACGTGATCGTCTAATTGCTGGAATCAATATTCCTGAGTTTGAGAAAGAGTTAATTCAGATTCCTTCTTGTACTTTTCAAACTGCTAAAGATTTATGTATTACATATGAAGATGTCAATAATGAATACTCTGCTCCCACTACGTCAGTGTCTGATGTTATGCTTTCTAAAGTCGAAAATACAAGTGGTAATGGAAAGCAATCCAAACTGCCGTCCACAGGTAATAGAATGCAGCGAGAGATCAAAAACATTAAACCGTGTTTATCCTGTGGAAAGTTACATCTACGAAGCACTTGCCGTTTTCGGGGTGCTAAGTGCCATAAATGTGGTAAAGTTGGACACATCAAGACGGTTTGCAGAAGTTCGAATACTTATGTTGCTCAACATTCTTATAATTCTCCCAAGCTGTCTAGCAAAATGGAGTCAATGTGTCTTTCAACCTTTCAAAATACTCAAGCTAATCCAATGAAAACCTCCACTACAAGTTCGGCAACTCAAGTGTCAACTGTTTCCAAAAATGAGGTAGCTGAGTTACAATGTGAACTGTCGAAAACACGAAAAGACCTGAATTAGATGAGAGAGCAACTGATTAAAATTGAAGAATTACTGCATATGCATAGACTGAGTTTGTTGAATGCAGAGCATACAAGTACCCGTGAAAGTCCTGCAAAACTTTTCAAATCTCGAATTCTCAAAAAGCATCTGATGTCCACGACTTCTAATGTACATTATTACAAAGGGAATGACTATAGACCTTCTGTTGGAATTATACTACAAAAAATGGGAAATCGAGTGGTGAAGATATTAGACATCAAAGATCACTCAGTTCATAACGGACACCTGGACAAAGTGACAATAAATGAAGTAGGTCATTCCAATTATAATATAATTGATTCCGCTAATAATCCTGATTTTGTAGATAATTCAGAAATAAGTCCAGATAATACTGATGAAAATAATATCACAGAATCAGTTAGGTCGAAGCTACTTGCAAGCAAACCGAGACACTGTTATAAATACCCAAGGAGATATTCGAGGTGTGGCGGATGTGGTGATTGAAAATTTCTATCTCTGTATTGTTTAAATACTTACTGTTGACTGTTGATATGTTTCTTATATGAATTGCATAATAATTCCGCTAAATACAAATTCCTGAATTCTGCCCTCTCTGTGTTTTGGTTGGATTCTTGTAATTCGGTCATCTCGAAATACTAATATTACGACTACAATAAATTACTACAAATTGGCGTCGCGATGGAACTAAATAACCTGGGAAAACTTCCTATAAATGCTACTCCGTGAGAGATTGCTGATTATTTGGAATGCTTTGATGCGTGGTGCATTTCAAAGAATGTTCGGGATGACAAAATACCAGCACATTTCATCACTGCTATTGGGCTTGATGCATATAGCCTAGTGAAGAATCTGGCGTTTCCAGATAAACCCATTTCTCTGCCATATGCTAAGCTCCGTGAACTTCTTATAGATCACTTCCATATAACTACTTTTGAGACGCGAGAGAGGGCTCAGTTCAATAAACTGGTTCGTGCTCCCAACCAGAAGATTCGAAACTTTATTCTGCAACTCCAAAAACAAGCTTCAAAGTGTAATTTTGGAGATTAGCTGCATACTCAACTACGTGATCGTCTAATTGCTGGAATCAATATTCCTGAGTTTGAGAAAGAGTTAATTCAGATTCCTTCTTGTACTTTTCAAACTGCTAAAGATTTATGTATTACATATGAAGATGTCAATAATGAATACTCTGCTCCCACTACGTCAGTGTCTGATGTTATGCTTTCTAAAGTCGAAAATACAAGTGGTAATGGAAAGCAATCCAAACTGCCGTCCACAGGTAATAGAATGCAGCGAGAGATCAAAAACATTAAACCGTGTTTATCCTGTGGAAAGTTACATCTACGAAGCACTTGCCGTTTTCGGGGTGCTAAGTGCCATAAATGTGGTAAAGTTGGACACATCAAGACGGTTTGCAGAAGTTCGAATACTTATGTTGCTCAACATTCTTATAATTCTCCCAAGCTGTCTAGCAAAATGGAGTCAATGTGTCTTTCAACCTTTCAAAATACTCAAGCTAATCCAATGAAAACCTCCACTACAAGTTCGGCAACTCAAGTGTCAACTGTTTCCAAAAATGAGGTAGCTGAGTTACAATGTGAACTGTCGAAAACACGAAAAGACCTGAATTAGATGAGAGAGCAACTGATTAAAATTGAAGAATTACTGCATATGCATAGACTGAGTTTGTTGAATGCAGAGCATACAAGTACCCGTGAAAGTCCTGCAAAACTTTTCAAATCTCGAATTCTCAAAAAGCATCTGATGTCCACGACTTCTAATGTACATTATTACAAAGGGAATGACTATAGACCTTCTGTTGGAATTATACTACAAAAAATGGGAAATCGAGTGGTGAAGATATTAGACATCAAAGATCACTCAGTTCATAACGGACACCTGGACAAAGTGACAATAAATGAAGTAGGTCATTCCAATTATAATATAATTGATTCCGCTAATAATCCTGATTTTGTAGATAATTCAGAAATAAGTCCAGATAATACTGATGAAAATAATATCACAGAATCAGTTAGGTCGAAGCTACTTGCAAGCAAACCGAGACACTGTTATAAATACCCAAGGAGATATTCGAGGTGTGGCGGATGTGGTGATTGAAAATTTCTATCTCTGTATTGTTTAAATACTTACTGTTGACTGTTGATATGTTTCTTATATGAATTGCATAATAATTCCGCTAAATACAAATTCCTGAATTCTGCCCTCTCTGTGTTTTGGTTGGATTCTTGTAATTCGGTCATCTCGAAATACTAATATTACGACTACAATAAATTACTACAAATTGGCGTCGCGATGGAACTAAATAACCTGGGAAAACTTCCTATAAATGCTACTCCGTGAGAGATTGCTGATTATTTGGAATGCTTTGATGCGTGGTGCATTTCAAAGAATGTTCGGGATGACAAAATACCAGCACATTTCATCACTGCTATTGGGCTTGATGCATATAGCCTAGTGAAGAATCTGGCGTTTCCAGATAAACCCATTTCTCTGCCATATGCTAAGCTCCGTGAACTTCTTATAGATCACTTCCATATAACTACTTTTGAGACGCGAGAGAGGGCTCAGTTCAATAAACTGGTTCGTGCTCCCAACCAGAAGATTCGAAACTTTATTCTGCAACTCCAAAAACAAGCTTCAAAGTGTAATTTTGGAGATTAGCTGCATACTCAACTACGTGATCGTCTAATTGCTGGAATCAATATTCCTGAGTTTGAGAAAGAGTTAATTCAGATTCCTTCTTGTACTTTTCAAACTGCTAAAGATTTATGTATTACATATGAAGATGTCAATAATGAATACTCTGCTCCCACTACGTCAGTGTCTGATGTTATGCTTTCTAAAGTCGAAAATACAAGTGGTAATGGAAAGCAATCCAAACTGCCGTCCACAGGTAATAGAATGCAGCGAGAGATCAAAAACATTAAACCGTGTTTATCCTGTGGAAAGTTACATCTACGAAGCACTTGCCGTTTTCGGGGTGCTAAGTGCCATAAATGTGGTAAAGTTGGACACATCAAGACGGTTTGCAGAAGTTCGAATACTTATGTTGCTCAACATTCTTATAATTCTCCCAAGCTGTCTAGCAAAATGGAGTCAATGTGTCTTTCAACCTTTCAAAATACTCAAGCTAATCCAATGAAAACCTCCACTACAAGTTCGGCAACTCAAGTGTCAACTGTTTCCAAAAATGAGGTAGCTGAGTTACAATGTGAACTGTCGAAAACACGAAAAGACCTGAATTAGATGAGAGAGCAACTGATTAAAATTGAAGAATTACTGCATATGCATAGACTGAGTTTGTTGAATGCAGAGCATACAAGTACCCGTGAAAGTCCTGCAAAACTTTTCAAATCTCGAATTCTCAAAAAGCATCTGATGTCCACGACTTCTAATGTACATTATTACAAAGGGAATGACTATAGACCTTCTGTTGGAATTATACTACAAAAAATGGGAAATCGAGTGGTGAAGATATTAGACATCAAAGATCACTCAGTTCATAACGGACACCTGGACAAAGTGACAATAAATGAAGTAGGTCATTCCAATTATAATATTATTGATTCCGCTAATAATCCTGATTTTGTAGATAATTCAGAAATAAGTCCAGATAATACTGATGAAAATAATATCACAGAATCAGTTAGGTCGAAGCTACTTGCAAGCAAACCGAGACATCGTTATAAGTACGCAAGGAGACATTCGACGTGTGACGGATGTGGTGATTGACAATTTCTATCTCTGTATTGTTTAAATACTTACTGTTGACTGTTGATATGTTTCTTATATGAATTGCATAATAATTCCGCTAAATACAAATTCCTGAATTCTGCCCTCTCTGTGTTTTGGTTGGATTCTTGTAATTCGGTCATCTCGAAATACTAATATTACGACTACAATAAATTACTACAAATTGGCGTCGCGATGGAACTAAATAACCTGGGAAAACTTCCTATAAATGCTACTCCGTGAGAGATTGCTGATTATTTGGAATGCTTTGATGCGTGGTGCATTTCAAAGAATGTTCGGGATGACAAAATACCAGCACATTTCATCACTGCTATTGGGCTTGATGCATATAGCCTAGTGAAGAATCTGGCGTTTCCAGATAAACCCATTTCTCTGCCATATGCTAAGCTCCGTGAACTTCTTATAGATCACTTCCATATAACTACTTTTGAGACGCGAGAGAGGGCTCAGTTCAATAAACTGGTTCGTGCTCCCAACCAGAAGATTCGAAACTTTATTCTGCAACTCCAAAAACAAGCTTCAAAGTGTAATTTTGGAGATTAGCTGCATACTCAACTACGTGATCGTCTAATTGCTGGAATCAATATTCCTGAGTTTGAGAAAGAGTTAATTCAGATTCCTTCTTGTACTTTTCAAACTGCTAAAGATTTATGTATTACATATGAAGATGTCAATAATGAATACTCTGCTCCCACTACGTCAGTGTCTGATGTTATGCTTTCTAAAGTCGAAAATACAAGTGGTAATGGAAAGCAATCCAAACTGCCGTCCACAGGTAATAGAATGCAGCGAGAGATCAAAAACATTAAACCGTGTTTATCCTGTGGAAAGTTACATCTACGAAGCACTTGCCGTTTTCGGGGTGCTAAGTGCCATAAATGTGGTAAAGTTGGACACATCAAGACGGTTTGCAGAAGTTCGAATACTTATGTTGCTCAACATTCTTATAATTCTCCCAAGCTGTCTAGCAAAATGGAGTCAATGTGTCTTTCAACCTGGTCTTCAGGACCGGTATGCGTGAGTCCATCACCTTCTCCTGTTTGCCTAGTTTGGCTGAAGCCCTGGTAACTACAGAGTATGATGTCCCATTACTTATTTTAGGTTGAGAATCTATTGTCATTTTACTCCTAAATTAATACTGGTGGTTAAATATTAAGAGACTGTTATTTTGTCCAATCGACTTACAGCAAAAGACAATAGAGAGCGCAGAAAAGAAGGATAAAGTATTTAAGTAAAAGCTTTTGACTTTACCTGTAACTTTCGGGTTATTCGGTTTTACAGCAGTCAAGTAACAGACCCACAAGTCCTGTATATTTGAAAGAGTGAGGAGGGTGTTGCTACAGAAGTAGCACCTGAAGCTTTGGCAGTAGTTCGAGACAGCGGGAAGTAACACACACAGGCTCGGTGAGAAAGAAATGGTTGAATAAAAATTCGCCGGATAGGAAGATCAGGTTTCCCAAACGAATAATTCACAAAATTGGATATTTCCGGTTAGGGAGGAGAAGCACGTCTTATTCAAGGAGCGCGCGGAAAACAGGTTTTGAGCATCCAATATCCAATATCCTGATTACGAGCTAGTATAAACCAGTGATTTCTTTGAGCTCGCTTCTTGATTGTGAGGTAGAGGTTCCAGATCTTCGGTGAGCTTCTGCGTAGTAAGTCCCGCCACTCGACTGCTTTAGCTCTGGTAGACTCCAGGAGGAGTGGTGCGGGGATTGGTCGAGATGTGGTTTGTAGTATGCAGTATGTTAGGACTGTATTGCTGCCGTGAATGGAGTTTGACCTAACTCCCGTTGGTCATTCGGTGTAGTCATAAAAAGCAGAATAGTAGTAACAATAAGAAGAATAAAAATAATGGGTTGTAGTGTAGATAATATAGGTTGAGATAAGTGGAATAATAAAGGTGACCTAAGGAAAAGATAGAGTGAGAGAAGGCAGAATAGGTCGTAGGGATTTAGTTAGTACGCTTATTCATTGACAGTCTGGTTTCAAGTTTTATGAGGATAAGCCATTGAGACACAAACCTTGCTGTCAGTCACGTCTCGTAAACCGTTAATGCCCAGCTCTTGCTACGCTCGGGCTCACGCTGTTCCTTGAAGTTTCTCAGAAGCGCTTAGTAATAACGGACGAAAACACCAAAACACCAATTGGCGACTCGAGGATTCTTTATTGTTACACCAACATATAAACAATGTTCCACTAGGATCTGTGAACAAATATTACAATAATAAATCACAGTATTACTTCTGACGGTTTATGCTGACTTCCTTCTGAACAGCGACCGATGAGACGATGACTGTCGTATTGATGCCTCCGCGAAAATTGGGGAAGTTGATTTTGAGCAAACAACCATGAATTGATCGTTCAATCATCAACTCCATTGACACTCCCCGGCAAAAATTGGATCCAACCCTTTTTTCCTTCACGACCAATGCACGTCCACTTGGATGCCATTGCGAGAACCTGGGTCACATGGACAGAGCTGAAATGGAAAACAAACAGAAAAGCCAACACACCACAAGCATACCCACAGCACAATCTCACACATCAATGACGACCTGCGCGTCCAGACAGAGACCTCCTCTTGACACCTCCTCTTGCAACACAATCGCCATTTGCTAGAATGACTCTCGCAGAAAGCAACGTGACCATAGCACCAACCCATGATACTCTACGCACATCGTCTTATCTACTCACTACCAATCACCACTGCAATCGCTTGTCACTCATTCTGCCTCAGTTCTAGTAGCGGTGACGCATGCAAGCCTCAGTCGTTTACACTCTTTCTCCCCGGCGTGTCGGACCGCAGCTAACAATTATCTCCATGTGCATTTTATTCTCAGCAATAGCCTAGCCTCCCCGGCGTATACGCCCTGTCAATGGAGTTGAAGATTGAACGATCAATTCTTGGTTGTTTGCTTAAAATCAACTTCCCCAATTTTCGCGGAAGCATCAATACGACAGTCATCGTCTCATCGGTCGCTGTTCAGAAAGAAGATTGAAACATCGTCAGAAGTAATACAGAGATTTATTATTGTAATATTTGTTTTCAGACCTTAGTTTGCTTAGTGATACTTGATTTATATGCTGGTGTAACAATACATAATACTCAAGTCAACAATTGGTGTTTTGGTTTTTTCGTTCGTTGTTACTAAGCGTTTCTGAGAAATCTTCTAAGAACAGCGTGGGACCGAGCGTAGCAAGAGCTGGGCATTAACGGTTTATGAGACTTTGCTGACAGTTTCTGACGATAGAAACAGATCTGGCGGATTGAAACAGTTGGTGAAAGTTTGGATAGTCGCCGTTCATTTTTCCTGGTGCCGGTCAAGTCCTCTTTGAACAAGCAATATCTGGAACACTTTTGGAATTGGGTCAAGTTCAACAATGCCTGGGTCAAAGAAGGGACAGAGTGTCTTGGATGCAAACAGGAAAGTAAGTCATGGTGACTTGTCTGTTAATTGTAACGATGTGTCTGATGTTAAGCATGACATGGTTGATGTTACTGTTTCGCCGTTCAGGGATAATAGGAACATCAAACTCCCTAAGTTTGAACCACGGTGTTTTGATGGAAACCCGGCTGATTATTTACAGTTTGTTAAGGAGTTTGAGATCATGCTGAGTAGTTTTTCATTAAGTGATGAATTGAAATTGATGTATTTGATGAGGTATTGCACTGGAGATGCTTCAAGAGCTATACAGTGCTGTAAGCTCATGCCCCCTAATGAGGGATACGCTGAGGCTATGAGCATATTACGTCAAAGGTTTGGAAGGCCTTCGATGATTGTAAGGAACGTATACGAAGCTGTCAACGGTAATGGCAGTCAACTTCAAGATGACTCCAAAGCACTCACTGAGTTTTTAGACAATCTTATGACTTACAAGAATACCTTGACTTCTACGAATTTCATGAGTGATCTCAACTCCAGCTCAGTCCTAGAGGTAATTGCAAGACGCCTACCTACGCGGCTGCAAAGGAAGTGGGTGAAGATGAGCTCCCGTATGGAGGATGAGGGTATCGAGCCAAAGTTTGATGATATCCTGAAACTGGTAAAAGATAGCGTCAATCAATCTACGAGCAAGTTCGCCAGTCTATTACATCTCACCCCTAGGATAGAGCAGTCTGAGGGTAAAATGCAATCATTGATGACGAAAGGGCCTCAGAGAGGTGGATATCGAGAAGGCTCCATGATGTATAGTAATGCATATAGACCTAGTGAGTGTAACGGGTTTCGTAGTACATCGTCAACAGATAAGTTGCAAGCTGCAAGACAAACACGGTTGTGGTTTACACGTGTGCAAGAGGTGCATACAGAAGTGAACTGTGAACCAGTGAGCAAGTTTAGTGATAAGCTAAATGTAAACTCCAGGTCTGACTCCGAATTGTGTGACGATTACGGTGTTGTGAAGAAGTCTGTAGTTGCAACTGGTAAGCCGTTGTTGAATAGAGTGTCACAGAATAGAGTTACTGCTGCAGAGTGCAGTTCTGACTCCACAAGTTTACAAAGTATTACTAGTCAGAGTGAAGTTATAAAACCTTTAATGATTTGCGAGGAGGAACCAAAATTGTCTACTTCTGTTATTAAAGAGTTTGAAAATGATAAAATTGACGGTAAAGTGAACATTTGTGGTAATGATCTTGATAGTGCAGATTTGTCTTTGGTTGATCATTATGAGATGCGGGATATGCCTACTACTGCTAAGTTAAATAAAGGTTCTGTACAACTACAACGTGAAGTAGAATTGAACGCAGATGCAGTTCCAGAAGATGTGCATACTTGTGAGACAGTCAGTGTAATTGATCAGCGTGTAGCCCACCTATCATCAGATGATAGTGCTAAACCCGAACTAGTAGTGAAAG